ACATTCTCAGCTGGCAAAGAGCAAATGGAGAAATGTTATGCATGAAAGCCACTATCAGATACCATTTAGCATTTTATAACCTTGAGTAGTTTTCCTTACATGATTGAAGGCTGAGATTCTTATTCTCAGGATTCACAAGCTGAACAAATCAGGAAGGATCTGTCTGTCTGTGACCTACAGGTATTTTTTGGTAGTTAAATTGAAGACAACATAGATTATATATATAGAAGAATAAGCATCTTTCTCAAATACGTAAGAACTCTCAAAGTGAAGAGGGAAAAATTCCAACATTTTAGGATAATCTTTTGAAGATATTTTAAATAAGCAGAAAATAAAAACTTTTACAACATCACAGAAGCAACCTGTGTTTAGCCTTTCTGAAGTTTACAGTCATTAACAAAGGATGCAAAACACACTACACCTAAACCACATATCACTGTCAAGCTACACATGCTACAATTTTGTTGAAACTTAGGAAAAAACACATCCACATGCATCTCTGAAATGATTTACTATGCTTTACACTCAACTTTAAAAACAGTAAACATTAACATATTCACTTACTACTAGCTCTAATGCCACTTGTGCTCTCTCAAACGCACATACTACCAAATCACCTGTCGACCTTTGCAGCATGCAGGCAGTAGCACACCATGGTGAGGTACTTACACCATGTACAGGGAACCACCTTCCCACTGACTGAGCTGTGGTCTAAAACCTGTAGAGCAAAATCCAGGCCACGTCTTGACTGAAGAAGTAATTCAAGTCACGGATAGTTGGTGTTAACTCCTCTCAGGACAGATTGGTTTCAGAGGAAGCATCCATAAGTAAAGTGATTAGGTTGCTGAGCTTAGGGCAAACATATCAGTCACAACTTCAGGAAGGGCAAGTCCTCCTCTCAAGGAGCATTGTCACCCCCTACCTTGTGACACTGTCTCAGAATCACCAGGAGAACTATTGTCACTCAGATAAGAGGGGGCTATAAAGTGGTGTAGATACCACTCAGCTTTTTCCTGGAAATGGAGCAGTCTGAGCTTTTTAACAACGACAACAACAAAAAAAAAAAGGGGGAAGAAAAAAAAGGCACCCACAACTCACAGTAATTCCTATCAAGATTTAAATTGGACTCAAGTAATCAAGACTCCTTCTATTAAACAAAATTAAAAATCCCAGAGTTCAACACAGTAAATTTTAAAAGGACAGAGATAAATTTTCCTGCCCTAGAAACATGGCCCTCAGGCTCCCTAACTATTTGCTACAATATTCCTCAGCTGGCAAAATGGAAAGCTGGCCACCACCCAAGGTATTCAGACAAAGCATTGTAATTAGAAGCTACTTAAGGCACCATGAACCAAAATATATGCTAATAAAAACATCATTTACTAACTCGTGAGAGACTCTTCTTAGGGGAGGGAATCTTTGCTAACAATAATATAATTGTCATGCATTTAAGTCCACAGCAACAATTTAAAGCTGATTCGGAAAAAGTGAGGAAGGGAAAAAAGTGACATTTGGAAAATAGTGGGGTGAAGGGAAAGTGGCTCCGAGAAACAGAATAAATCGAGCTTGTCTGATAGCTGCACACCAACACAATGCAACTTGGTCTGCAGAGACCAGTACTTAGGCACAAAAAAGCAGGGGGATTTTAAGTGTGCTGCTGGTTTAAGATTCTCCACCAAAAATGGGAAAAGAAAAAACAAGATAAAAGGATTAAGCAGCTCTCTCCTTTTGTAATCAAATAGAATCTGAATTTTCCACAGCGAGAGCTGCTGGAGAGCCATGCACCCCACCCCAGGGGTGATTCCTCCAGGAATCATGCTGAGCATTCGATCCCACCAAGGCTACGAAAGAAACGCTTTTGATCTCTATTTTCTGCTGCATTATTGTCAATCTGCAGAAGTGATGTTTGCTTATTATTTCCCACAAGATAGCAATTCTGGTTCCTTTTCTACTCTGCCTACAATTCCAAGTTTCCAGACATAAATAAAATATTATATTTATTATCCATACAAATCAGATGTTACCTGTTGTCTACAACCAACCTCTGACTGGCAGGCCTGTATATTAAGGTTCTTCAACTAACTCAGGTCTTCCTACAAGCTTTTAAACCCAACAACGACCAGCCTTTTGGAAGGCTTGCCACCTTAGAGTGGCTATGTGAAAGGTGATTTAATGCCTCAAGGGGGTGCTGAGCACTTCCAGCTGGCTTCTCCGACCACCCAGGACACAGCTCCTTTCCAGAAGCAGCCACATGAATTTCCAGTTTCTCTCAGCTGACTGAAGGCAGCCAGGAGGGCACACCGGTTAAACAAGACGACCCGCTTAAATAAGGGCTTGCGACTAAGATATTTAAGAGTGGTTTCTCTACGCTCTTCAAGCTGCCAGTTTCCCAGTTTGTTGCCCAGAGAAACTCCAGAAAAAGGAGGAGAAATCTCACAAAAAAGGAGAAACTCACGAACAAGGAGCACGGAAGCGCTACTGCTGTTGTTTCCGCCTGCCTGCTCTACCACGTTAAGGTTTGAGCTTAACTTTCACGGTGTAAGTAAGGCTTCGGCTGAATCTCACCCGGGGCTCTTCTGCTGTGAAGGCTCCACATCAGCACGTAGACTCAGCAACAGATGGGGAAGCACCCAGCATCCCGACTCCAGAATAAGCACACGCAAGTCCCATGCTTGGCCTTGGGTTTAGGAGAACGAAGCCAAACGAAGGACAAGCCAAACAAAGGACACGTTGAAAGGGCAGGAAGCCCTAAACACCGCTATCAGCAGTAAAGACAATAGGGGCATTGACAAAACTTCCAGGCTTCAGCAGTGGAACACAAAGCCTCAATAAAAACCGCAAAGAACAAGGGAAGGACAACAGCTCTCAAAGCAGAAACACCACTCAGAAGATATTTTATTAGTGCAGTATGAAAAATAGTAATAAGCCCAGAGGTTGGGGTAGGCTGGAAGCTTTGGGTCATCACTGTTCTTCAGAGGATAACGAGAAAGAAATTAACAGGGAAAGACACTTGCTCTTGAATGGTAGATCAGAAGGAGCAACACAAGACAAAGTAGCCAAAATCCCAGATACAAATTAAAGTGAATAAGGTATTCAGAAGTATCATGTGTTTAACTGTAAAATTGGGATGTTCTAGAACAGAGAACAACCTGGAACAGTATAGGCCTCACCTTGGGAAACTTGTCTGCCTCGATGGCTAGCACTCAACACCCATCAACTTTGTTTAGTATATCATCTCAGTTTCCTGGAGGCCTAGGGAAGGACTAGAAATACATTGTGCAAACACAGAAGAAAAAGATGGTCGCTGGCTTAAAAAGGTTATAATTCACGATTACACATGAAAACCTGTAACATAACTTATCTGTAACAGATTCTGAGCAATTTAACAAAGTTTGTGATGGTCACTGCCCATCACTGATGGACACACACACAAAAAATAGGAAAGCAGATGTTTGAAAAATGACGAATTTAAAAAAAAAAAACTGAGAGGAAACATAAGGGACTAGATGGGAAGGATGGATTTCGTGTCCAAGAGTCAAAGCTCAATCACAGATTTCCTGCCTCAAATGAGGCATCACTTGGTTCAGTAAATACAACTTTATTAAGATTCACTTACTTTTAAAAAAAGCTTTTAAGCTTTTAGAGTCTTCACACTATGTGGAAAAATTAATACTTATATCTAAATGTCAAGAACTGAGTTTTGTGTGTTAAAGAGCTGAAAGAAAAAAAAAGAGAAAGCACAGCAGGGCAGCAGAGGGAAGACAGAGAGAGAGAATAAGCAAGGAAACTCAAATCATGGGAAAGAAAACTGAAACCTCTTGAAATAATTAGTCCATTATCAGCTCCAAACGCAGAAATGGGATAAACAAGATTCAAGGGAAGGAATTATGCTATACTTCAAATATGTTTTCCAAGATCCGTTTTCTCTCCATAAATAACACACTGAATTGCTAAGAGTCAACAGATTTCATCAGGGCCACTCTGCATCATGCTGCGCATTGTAAATAAAAGCACAAGCATTTCCTGCACTTAACAGCAAAAATCGTCATTGCCTGCAATTCACATACAAGGTATGGAGAATACAGTGGGATGTATCAGGACTGACATTACAGCCTGTATAAGCATCTCATTTTATCCCAACCTAACCTGACCATAGCTACATTTTTCTATGAACAGGACCAGTGCAATTTCACAAGAAAGTCTGAAGATAGTTTAAAATGCATGCATGGGTTTTTCCATTTTTTTCCATGGAATTTCTTTCTTTCTTTTCAAGATAAACGTGGGCATATATTAAGAGAACTCTACAGTTCTACAGCCTATTACTGCACACTACTGCCATTAGGCTACTAAAATAAACAAATGACCAGCCAGGTTTACTTACAGTCAATATGAACCAATGCCCACAAACTCCATTACAGCTTTTTTGAAAAGGAAAAGGAAAAGCTACTTAATTTGAGCAATTCATTTCACACACTTCAAAAATCAAGACCAAAACCTGAAGTGGTTCAGGTTGCCGGTGCTAATTTCCAAAATAGTAACAGCAGACAACCCATGTCCATATTGAACATCCCAACTCAGGGCAACCCCAGAGTCACCACCTAAGCTCAGATCACCCACCAGCTCATGTGCTGGAAATCAAGTTCTTTCCAATGCCAATGAAAGCTGCCACACATAAACCTGATGAAACCAGAGGGGAGCTGGAGACCACTTGGGCACCACCCAAGCTGTCTTGAGGAAAGTGGCTCACAATTCACACCAGGCTTTTTTTTTTTTTTTTTTAAGGTAAGTGGTACAGCCAGCCTGCCTCTGCATTTTCCCCACCTGTGAAATTTGGGAACCTATATACTTAGTGACTGCTGATCATCTGCTTTGCAGAGCCTTGTAAAGACTCAGTAGGTGTATACTTACAAAGTCTTCTGAAGACGAAAGGTTTGGAAAAAGTACACCAGCACATTAAAAGAGACTGAGATAACAAAGACATACTGTAAAGTAATACTCACCCGTTCCTGACCAGCTGTGTCCCAGATCAGAAATTTATGAAGCTCATTCCCACAAGGCACAGTTTTAGTCATGAAAGATGCTCTGAAAAGAAGGATGCAGCAGAAATTTGTAACATGACCGACATTTTGAATATGCAGCCTATAGACCTTAGCCAGCTCTGCTGGGTTAGACCGCTTATGGGGAAACTCCAAAACCTTGATAAAACGCCTACAGAAGTGAAAGTCTGTCTTTTCTCAGATAAAATATGATACCTATATATGTATTTTAAAGGAAAGGAAAAGCCTCTGATGTTCAGAGGGCATTTGTGCATGGGCTCAGTAACACAAATCCTCCTGCTGCTCACACGTAGCTTCTGCTGCTAGCTAGCTCCATCTTCTCAGTGACACAGACCTGAGAAAAAGGCGTCAGCACCATACCAGCCAACACATGGGCAACTTTTCAGTTAAACCTAGGAGACAGGACTACCAGGGAACAGAAAGACCACCTGCTGAATGCACATGGTGAATAAACGGAAAAAAAGTTCTTTCCCCTCTCAATTCAGATGAAGAAATCTTCATGCCTTCTTCTATTTTTTTGTATGAAATGCTATTTGTCTATGTTTTCACAGTGTGATTTTTCTTCTTTTAGGAGAGACAGTTACAATTTATAGGCTTTTTCTATATTACATCATTTCAATTGAAAGCTGGCTAGAAGAGACTGCCAAACCCTGGTAGATTCCTCCCAGCCCCTCATCCTCCCTCCATCCTATCTGGACACTGCTGAACAATTTCTGTTGTAGTAACTTTTTTCCTGGCTCATAAAGATGCATTTGATACAATGCACTGTCATTATAAAAGCACCAAGTGACATAAGACTGATCAAAACATCTCCTGAGAATGGTATACCAGACTGCTCCTCTACAGCCATCTGCAAATTGCTCAAATTTAACAATGCTGCATTGCTTATAAAAATATTAAGAAAAAAAAAATAGCAGCGTTTTCTTTGGTTGTTTTCAGGACGTGTGCTTTCAGTTGCCACTCTTCTTCTCAAAGCATTAGGCAACACTTTACAGCTTCAAAAACAGGAACTTTAGAGCTGCAACAGCTACTGTAGATTGCAAGGACTGTACATTTAAAACTTTTGATTAATTTGGAAGAAAATAAAAACAAAAACCTTATGTATAGAGACAAGTAATATCACCTGTGTGCCTTTACATTTTAATGTTCAAATAGAAAAATATTTTCCCTCTGTTATCACAATTATGAAAATTAAAGAGTTTCTTTTTTTTTCATTTGAGCAGAAGACATTTACTTAGCAATAAGAACTACTTGGGGGAAAAAAGCTGATGACGATGTAGAAGTAAATAACCACTCAAGTTCCCATTAGCTCCTTCACCACAAATAAGTGTCCTTCAGTCAGTAATGTTATCTATGACATGCTTCCTTTCTCTCTTTTCCTTTATTCATCACATTCAGGAGTCCAAAATTGTCCTGTAACTTCAACGTGAAACTTCCAGCTGAGACTCCTTCATGCGTCGAAAGGCAGAGCTTTAGAAGACTTTGTCTAAACCCTTGAACAACACACAGCAATCAATACCAATCCTTCTCAGACGATTTAAAACAGCTCTAACACATGAGCCAGATCAGCCCTTCTCACTCAAATTACTCCTTTGTGAACATCACATATTAGCTTTCTTTCCCATAAAAGATGAAGAATTTTCAAAATTTTCCAGGTAATATTGGACTTGGCAGATTTGTCCCTAAGATGTTACATGAAATATTTTGGAATTAAAATCAACTACAGGACTAACAGGCTTCTGATGGTTTGACATGCAGAAGCTTGGCAGTTTTTAAAGAACAAGTGGGAATTAACTATACTTAGTTTAAATTGCATTGTCCCTATTTTGAGAAAGACAGGATAATGTAACATGTCCTAAGCCTAGATGAAAGCATGTCCACACCTGGGAACAGACATCGTCCATGTTCCGGCCCAGCCTGGTAGGACACACAACGTAGGTACATTAAAGGGCTCCCCATGGTTCTCTGCCATTACTCAGCCATAGGGTGTCCTGGTCATTTTACAGATCACAGCCTCTTTGGGTCACGAGGTTTTAGTTCTTTAAGCTCCAAGGATCAGATTTGACACCTCATTGACCAGTGGGAACTAAAATAATTTTAATCCTAAGGTCTTATGACCAAAACACAATGTAAAGCGGGAAGCTCTTGACACGACAAAAAGAAAAGGACACTAATCGAGTAAGATACCTATGAATCTCTTGGTGTAAGATGGGTGAAGAAAAACAGGACAGCTGGAAGTTATGGCTACACCCAACACAAGTCAAAACAGCATGGCTCTGGACAGCCCCAGAGAAGAGGTCATTTCAAGAGACACCATCCACAGGAGGAGAACGGCAGAGCTCTGTCAGCCTCTCCGTAACAGATTATGCTGCAATATAGTTAAGTTGAGGCCCCTTCTGTATTCCCAGAACAGGGAGAGCAGAGCAGATCTGGTTTGGGGCAGCCCCAGACTCTCTAAACAGGTAGCATTAGCCAAAAGCCATTAAGGAGACTAAAGGATTCAGTGAGATTAGTAAACTGGAGTGAAAAAAGGTATACAGTATCCAGAGCCCTAAAAGTAAGGAAGAGAAAGGAGCTCAGCAGAAGGCAATGAGTTAAAAAATATATAGAAGAAAAAAGATACTATGTGTGGTACTTACCCAATAGTAGGACTAATATTGTGATCAAAGTGGTCCTGGACAAATCGACAAACGATGCTTGATTTGCCAACCCCAGTATCCTGAAAATAAAGGAAAGCACAACAGTGAGTTCAGGAGACCCTAGACATCAATACTTCTCCTGAAGAAACAGTCAAATATTAATTTGTGAAATTAAATCCTCTCTAGTGGCAAGTGGGGCAGGTTAAGCGTTTCAAAAGAAAAGCGAGCACATGGATTACCCTTTTCAAACGTCAGCATTGAGAATGGAACTCACTGGTCCCCTTCCCAACACTTCCTTCTCTCCAAGCCTTGTATTTTTGGGGGTGGATTTTATATTCGTGTTTCAAGGACTGCAGTACTTCAAGCACAACCGTTTACTTCTACAAGAAAATCCTGCACTTTCAAACACACGGCGCATTACCCAGCAAAACCAGAGAAACAATTTCATCCAGACCAGTTGCAAGAGCAGCCCAAGCATGCTTCCAAAACAGAGCACAAACACCAACCTTTTAGTACACTGACAACACTAACTTAGCAGAACTAACCTTTCCACAGCAAGACAAACAAGCCTGCTTGGTGGAAACTTCGCAGAGGCTTCAGGTGGTTTTGAAAAGGCAGGAATCCAAAGAGTTGGATCCCCAGAGATGTGCAACTATCCCTGTGCAGGTTGAGTTATTGGACTACGGTGAAACAGCATTACTTTAAATGCAACACAGTTTGCTCTCTGCAAAGAGATGAGGCAGGCTGCTTCCATTTGCAGTAACAGTCTTTTTTTACCATCCCCTCCATCAAATCATTAACGAAAAATAACAGCAGTACAGTACTAGTATAAAATTCAAAATAAACTCTGGGGTGGGAGAAAAGCTTGACATTACTCGGAAATACTATTTTAGGCATTTAAGATATCAACAACTTCCCCAAAAAGCTGCATTTTTCAGTTTGTCTCTGCTATCCCATGAAGCCTTGGGTGGTAGATGGAAGAACATAAATTATACAGAGAATTATCAACAAAGAGGAACAGCAATATCACTATGTCTCTCACAGAATTGAAAGAGCCTCCTCAGAGACAAAAAGGATGCCAGGAAATCGATCCTGACCTTTCCAAGGCATTAACAATGACAGCCCAGGGTCCAATCTAACTCATTAAAGTCAATGGAAAGTTTTCTATTAATTTCATCGGAAATGATTGCAGAACTACCAGATTGCACCTGGTAGTTCCATTTGTATCCACATTTTAAGACACCTGACCAATTTACACAAGCTTCTCGAAAAGTGCCAAGACAAGAGAATATGGTTTGTTGAGAGCACTACACATATAACTACATATTAAAAAAAAAAAAAAAGCCTTTGCCTTTTCCGTAATCAATTTTGCAATATTTTACCTTCTTTTAGAATATGAAAGAAGAAGAAGAATGCCTGTAGTTAAGATTTCCTTTCACCATGTTTAAATGAAACTGTATCGGCACTGCAAGCGAAGTCTTTATAGACAACACTTATTAGAAAACCATCATTTAAACTCTCATATTTAATTCAAAGCTGTCCTTAGTCAGCTTAAAAGCCATAACAAATGCTCATGCTACACAGACGGTTGTTTATCTACTGTGTTCAATCAATAGGAAAAAAAGATCAAAGAGAGGAGAAGTGTTTAAAACCAGCCCTGTAGCCTTTGATCAATAGCAGCAACACATCCTGTTGCTATTCCCAAATTTTGCCTTCATTATCGATTCCAGCTGACATGTCTGTATAATTAGTAGACTAGGGTGGCAGAGCACATTAAAAAAAAAAAAAGTCCTCTGTGTTAAAACTGAAGATCTAATCATTATACCAGATTTTAAACACTGTGGAGAAACCAGAACGACCACCCGCTGGGTGCGAGGAATTACATTTCCCTCTTGCAAGGACAGAGTTTCTGCCACCGTGTTCGAAACCAGACACTGACTCCCATGACCCGGTGACGCTTTAGTTTCACGTAGTTCCTTCAGCTCCCTTGACAGGTCACTCAGAAGGATAACTGCAATTACAGCTCCTGAGCAAGAGGAGCCCCAGTCTCTGGCAGGGACGTGACATCCACAAGCGTGGATTACTCCTGGAAGCTTCTAGCTTTTCACCTTTCAGTGCACGACTCTTACTAACGTTTCACGCTAACGTTAAAGGAACTTTAAACGTTTCTTCTGCCCTTGCATCTCCCACAATGAGCACGGCTAAACTTAAACATACACCAGACACACCAATAGCCCTCAAGAAGCTTAAAGGCGTTCTTATACACTTTGCTCCTGGGGTTGCTTGGACTATGGAGAGGGTTAAATTGACCCTTGGTGTAAGTTCAGTGAAACCAATGGACTTGGATTACAAACGAACCTGTCTTTAGGACAGCTGCTGTTGTGGCCAGTGGCTGGTGCTTTCCAGGAGCCAGGCCATTTATTGCACCATGGGGTTCAGTCGAAACAAACACTCCCAGCTTCTGTTTAGTTGCCTGGAGGATACAGCGGCCGGCTACCAGAGTATAATTAGAACACAGAGGGGAAGGAAATAAAAAAGAAAAAGCTTCCTACTTAAGGCAGCAATTCTCATTTCATCGTGGAATTTAAAACTACTTAGACAATTTTCAGTCCATGTTACCATACCCGCACCTGTAAAATTAGACACTCACCTGCCTGAAAACAAAGCAAATCATGGTGTATGAACATTACACAACTTGAAAACTTAGTAGAAATCTTTCACTACTAATCAGACCTTATCTTGTACTCACAACAGGGAACCATCTTTCAGGAAAATCTTGCAGGAGTTAAGGAAAGCATGGTCAAAGAAGTAGAAAAGGTATTCATTTCTCAGCAATGGATTTAATTAAACCTCCTTGCTAAGACTGTACAAAGCTTTCCTGCTGCCATCTGCTTTGGCCTTTGCTATATGGTCTTCCATACGTATATCCATTTTTCTAACATCTGATGGGAATGCTCATCCTCCTTTTGTTCCTTTTTCTTCAAAGCATTACAAGAGACTTGTCAAGCCACACGCCTGGGTAACATTCATGCATGCAGATGACTTCTTTTTTCAGTTCTCAAAGTCTTGCTTTTCGCCAGCTTTTCACACCCTCTGGTTTTTTTTGTTTGTTTTACTCCATGTTGGTGTACATATAACATACAGAAAGGAATAAAATTTCAGCTTATGTAAAAGGTCACAGAGGTATTGAGCTGAGTGGATTGGGCAACCTTCAGCAACTGAGAATGTGTCCCCCTCAGGATTTATGTCACACTTAAAGGAACAGATCTTGTAATTATTCAGAAAAATCCTTACCCCTGGGAAACTCAAGGGTTTCAGCACTATACTCACGGACTTACCATGATCACGAGAATATCACTCCATGAAAGGAGCAGCAAGAAAGGAATAAATATAAAATAATTATTCTGAATCAAGATCTTCATGATGTTTTGGAGTCATTCATGGGACCAACTGCACGTTTTGCCTTTCTCCTTTCTTCTTCATAAGCCTCATAGCACATTTACAACATAAGTTATTAACTGCATTGCACCAAGATAAGCAAAAAGGCTGGAGTGGGGTGGGGAGGAAGGGAAGGAGTAGAAATGTAATCCACAGCAAGTGAACTGCTACCAGTTCACCAGAAGTAGCTACAGCTTCAGAATCTCCCACTGGTCAGCAAAACAGATATGGAAATCTGAAACTGTATCAGATGTTTCTGATAAATACAAGGAACCAATGCAAGCATGACTAACTCCAGATTTTTACTCTTTAACCCTGACAAGGTATTTTCTATTCCTCTAAAGTCCTTTACCCACAGATTTAGGCATGAGGATTTTAAGAGCACCAAAACGGAGAGCAGCATGCCACAAAAACCAGAGCTTTCACCCACACTCCTGCTCGCAGAGAACCACCCCACTTGGCTCTTCTCAGCTCACATCAGTGTAAAGGAGATGAGACTGTATTGCAAGCCAGCAGAAATGCAGGATGCTGGCAACTAATTTGCAGGCAAACAACAACTGAGTTGCTGATTTCTTCAGGCTGATTTGCAGCAGCATAGAGGAAGATTAAAAAAAAAAAGGCAAGCAGAAGTTCAATATGAGCAATATATTAAAAAAGAAAAACAATCTCCCATCACAAACAGGCAGTCTATATTTCTCTGTTCACTGTTCCTGATGTGTGCATCCTAGCAGAAAAAAGCTAATGGAGAAAAATTTAGGTCTTTAATTTAAATCCGGATATCTCGTTTATACCTTTGCTCAACCATAGGGCTCAGCCCTCCAAGCACTTTTCCAAACTGAACGGAATTATACTACCCTGTAAACACATCCCTAATTAGGACATTACCCTTTAGTCTTGACATTATAATAATTTTTAATAGATTCAGGTGGGTCAAGCCCTTTTGTGCTGAGCAAACTAAGCTCCTCATGTAAACTCTTTTCACATCTGAAATGGAATAAATGTTGAATTCACAAAAAAAAACCCACTCATATTGTGACTGATGACTAAACAGCAGCCCTATAATTATGCACACTGCTGCAACAGCTATTTTATTCTTGACTATGCAGAATCTTTCTGCGCTACATTACACATAGGGCTCTTTTAATATATGTAAAATTAGATAAACCATGCAAAAATCCTTTTATGACTCTTAGGATTTTGGAAATGCAAATAAAACAAGAATACTAGATGGCATTTCACATGAGGAAATGGCATACTGAGAATGACCATACTGAAGAAATTGCCTTCTGTCCTTCCACTTGCAAAGTAAAAAAAAAAAAAAAAAAAACAACATCTGGCTTGTAACCACCACATATCTCATGACTAACTTCCCATTTCAGCTTTAAAAGAGGGTTGAGATACCCTACAGACAGGCACCACAAAAACCTGCATTGAGGAGTAAAAGAGAACTAATCTCTATAAAATAGGGATCCTACACACGGCTCCTTCAGAAGGATGGAATTTTTCCCATCAGCTTAGACAAAGCCAAGATTCAATCCACGGTATTTCAATTTGCATAAATTTTTACAAATTAAAAATGCCTGTCCTTCCAAAGCACTTCTTGCAATCACCAAGATTCATTGAGATATGATCTACAGGCAGA